CAGGGACTCCCTGAGCAACAGTTATGGCAGAGGGGAACCACCTGCCCACAGACACCAAACCAGAATGGGGACAGAGCTCTGTGTGAAATGTGTGTGAACCTGTTCCAAGGACCTACGTTCATGCCAAAGCTTTTGATAAACAAAGGAGGATCCCCCGCATCGCGCCCAGAAGCCGCGGTCCAGCAGCGGAGACGGCAAAGGATCGCCCGGGCACCGGCACCGGCGAGCTGGCGTTGGGTTTGTTTTTCACTCTTATCCCCCCCTTAGGCTCTCGCTGTGTGAAGCAAAGCCCTTGGAGGTGGGGGAGAAAGTGGCTTCCGTGACAGCGGAGGGAGGAGGAGGGAAATAAAATAAAATAACCCAAACCAAAAATCCAAAGAGAGAAGAGCCAAGGAAGCACTTGCTTCTCATCATCTCTCAGGGAGAAAAGCCAACTCTGTTCTTCTTATGACCCTCTGCTGCAGGGAGCAAAGGGAAAGCAGGTACTGGGGTAGCCCTAACAAAGCAGGGTGCCCGCTGCCCGGACCCCATCTCTCCCCCGGGTAGCAGAAGGCTGCGGGGAGGTGCGAGGGGGGGCAGGGAAGGTTGTCAGGGGGAAGCCAGGCAAAGCTTCCCCAAAGCTCCACGAAGCTCCACCAAAAGCGAGGAGCAGAAATGAAAGTTTCGAAATAGCATCCAAAGGACCGCAAAGGACCGGCCGGATCAGAGCTCTCGGCGTCGCATCAGTCCTGGATGGTGCATTCGAGGGGCTGCATCAGGGATGTGAATGTGCCTGGGCCGCTGCATGGAGAGGGGTAAAGACACAGAAAATCCTTGTTATTTATTTATTTATTGGAAGCAATGTACGGGTGACACCCAGAAGGCATCTGAGCCCTGAAAAAAAAAAAAAAAAAAAAACCAAAACAAACCACAAACCACCTCTGGACCCAAACGAGAACAAGAAGAATGAGACAGCAGCCTTGACCCCTACACTGAGAGGAAGGTGAGCAGAAAGAAAGAAAGAAAATACAGAAAAGCCATGCAAGCACCAAACCTGTAGATTACTGCAGCTCTTTTTTGCTTCATTGAGGACAGATATTTTACTGACAGCCATGCAGCATAAAGGCATCATGCTGATTGTGCTCTTGGAATATTTTATTTCTGGCCATGGGGAAGCAGGTAAGCAAAATAAATCAATATTGCCATTCATGAAACAATTTATCCTAAGTTTAGCAAGGGGAAAGGGGATAAAAATCAGGTCTGTGTTTAAAAAAAAAAAAAAAGAAAGTATAACAACATCATTTAGATTGGATTTTTTATAAGGAATCTGGGTTAGTCAATATATACAAATGCTTCTTATTCTCTGCAACACACAGCCTTATAGCTCAGCCTCCTCCCAAAGACTTATAACAGCATGTACAGTTTCATACATCCGTAAAAGAAAAAAGTGTATTATTTTTCCGAATGAAAGAAAAGAGAGGAAGAAAGAGGTAGATGGATTGAGATATGCTGGATATTTGTTTTGAGGATGAAACACTGCCTTCCTAGGCAGGACAAGAGGGAAATAACAGTCTCCTTGGACAGCATCACTGTAGAAATTTGAGTTATTCTCTGTTAACTTCATTTTGCATCATTAAAAGTCAGGGATGCTGTTTAGGAATTATTATGTATCCAAGGCAGTCCATTCACTCAGTGTGTTCCCTGATTTAATAGTTAACATGCAGCAGGCAAGATTAAATTAGCATTAGAGAGAAAATGGATTAGGACAGAAAGAGCAGTTGATTAGTTGTGTGTGTGTATATGTGGGTGTATAAATAAACATATATAGGAATGATACAGCTGTAATGGTATTTACATGGGGTCCTAAAAATACCTGGATTATGAGGGAGACAAATTTCTTAAGGGAAAGGAAGCAAAGCATTAGATTATTTTCTCCTTGCTGTGGTTTAATACATCTTTAAGGTTAAAAGGGATGAATTATGCAGCTCAGGTCAGAAAAATAAAAATATTGATAAAACAAGACATCCCTGATGACTTTTCCTTTGAGATATTGGCTTCGGGTGTCTCTTTCTGTACAGGAAGGCATACCAGTGGTTTAAATTTCACCTGTGTGCTCAGAGTATTAGGAACAGGAACAACACTCTACATGCAGCGATTTAAAAGCGATTCAAGTGTTCAGCCACCCTGCAAGCTCCAGTAAAGTCAAAGGCAGATCAGGCGGCTTCAGCTCAGATTATTCCCCAGCTAGATCATAGACATCAGATTTCCGTAATGGATTTTTTTTTTCTTAAATTTTCTAAATTATTTTCTTAAAAAGTGAAAGCAGCTCATGAATTTACAATTCTATCATATGATCCAGTGACACTTCAGGGAAAAAGGCTGGTTATCACAACATTCCAGGGAATGAGTGGAGGGAGGACATGGTACCTTAGTCCTCTTAGGATCCTATTTTGGGTATTCACTAGTTTCCCAGCCTAGGACTCTCCCTACGGGGTACGTATATTGATACATAGCACAGGAAGGTTACAGAGACATTTTATAAAGTTGCTGATGCTGTTGTGGAAAGCAGCCTGTTATAAACCAGCTTAGATTTGCCCTGCATCCAATTCACAAAGTGAAAATGAATCTTCAAGGAAATGCAGCCCACAGCCGACTGCTTGGAAAGTGAATTTGAGGGGAGGCAGCGTGTTCTGTATGGAGCTAAACACACTCCGAATAATGGTGTAGGACACTGAATAACAGCAAAATAATTGGATAGTGAAGGTGATGATGCCAAGGATTCAATGTCACTTCAAATAAATATACGCTGCTTGGTCAAAAGGTTGCACAAATCATAAGCCTGTGAAAGCATAAGGGTTACCTGTGGTTTTGGGGGTTTTTTGGTTGGTTTTTTTTTTTAGAAGCAGTATAAAAATCCTGAATTAACCTTGAATCTTTACAGGTCCTGTTACAAGGTCAGTACTGCTCAGCCTAAGGTTAGTTCAGACAGTGTTTAGCCAGTCTGTGTAAACTGATTTAGAAGTCTCAGCCTTTTTCTGAGCAAGAGATGTGTACAGGGAGTTTGGTTTTGACATACTTTACTAGCCTACGTCCCTTCTGGTAAGAAGTGAAACAAATTGATGGGGCAGTTGTGTGGGGAGTACATGGAGTACAATATTTGTGGGGAGTACAGTATTTGCCTCCTGCCATCTGTGCAGAGAAGACAGTCTGGGTTGTCAAGATTGGCTCCTTAGATCTTTAAATATAATGCCAAGGGAAAAATAAAAAAATCCCACCTTAGTGGTTTGGCTGGAGGAGTCCCCTAGGTTTTATATTATGAGATGTGACACTTGGGTGATCCTTCCCCTAGTCTTATGCAGGTGGAGGGCATTATTCCCCTCAAGTAAACTTGCAGTGGTCTCAAAACTCGTGCATATTGGGACAGTTAAGGGGACAGATAACAACTTGGGCTGTTGCTTCCATGCTGGCCAGCCCAGGCCAGCCCAGGGCTCCGCAGGGGAGCAGTGTCTGGGCCAGCTCTCCTCCCGATGGCCATGGCCGCCCTCCAAAAGGGGGCGTGGTGTGGCCAAAAATGGCCATTTTCTAGCACCAAGCTTAAAAATCAATTTGCAGGACGAGATCATCAACAGGGTTTGGTTTCCTCTGGTCTGGGGTTATTCAGTTCGTCTGCAGATCACCTGTAGGTGTTGGAGCCCAGTCTTGTTCCAGGAGGGATGTGGGCAGGCAGACGGCGACTGGCCACAACGGAAAATGGCCCAGATCTGGGATTTTATTCTTCTTTTGTTCGTGCCTCAAGTCATGGAGGCAGCTCGGTTTGTAGCACATTCAGAACTTCACCTTTGGGGTGTTTATGAAGGCTGGCTCATTAGCTCCAGTTGTGAGGGCTATTTTAATGCAGAAATACATCAGGCTACTCATAAATGGATGAAGACTTGCCCAACTTATTGGATGTTGTCCCCAGAGACACCAAAGGGTTGTAGAGCACTGCTGCTGCAACCAGCATTAAGGGGTAAAGTTCTAGGTGTGATTAATAAAAACTCGAGCAACTCATGTCCCCCAGGTGCTTAGCTCTAAAAGAACATTTTAAAGTTTTTGGTTATTAAGAAAAAAGTTAAACAGATATGGAAGAAGTGAAATCCAGGTTGGACATAGATGCTGGATCTGCTCCACCAAAACCAGCAGAAGATGCCCAAAGCTTTTAGTGTTTATGTGTTGCTCAAACTGTGAAATTCGCTCTCCTGTCTCACTGTAGGAGACTTGAACACACAAGATCATGAATTTGCATGTGGAAAAGAAATAAAAATTCAATTCAAATCACTCCAAAAATATTAGGCATCTTTCCAGTCACATCAGCAGGCTTTGACTGAGTTGCCATATGACCTTTCTTCTGTCAGGTATCCAGTGGAGGGTGAAAAAAAACCCTAAAAAAAAACTAAAAAAAAAAGGAACCTGATTTTAGTAAATGTCTACAGTGTTCTGTTGCATTACAAGGCTCTGAAGTAAGAGATCTGTTTGAAATGGTGCCCCAGGAATATCAATAGTATGACCTCCCTTGAACTGTATGATTCCCTAATCATGGGATAACGCCGCTGTTATAACACGTGTCAGGCATGTGCCACTGACCCGCCACTTTGTGGCACAGCTCTGAGGGACCAGAAAACAAAAAAATAAATTAATCATACCATTTACGGAGCCGAGCCATCCTCCATGGAGCAAAAGCTAATCAACTTCAATAACATGCAGTGCCCATGCGCAATCCAACTGCTTAGTTCTTTATGAATTATTCAATTAGTCCTCCTGGCAGTTGGGGTAAGTTGTATGTTCGCCTGGCTGCTGTTTCTCTTCTGCAGTGGGCCCCCCTCGCTGTCCAGATTCAACATTTCATGTTGTTTCCACAGAATCAGTGAGTGATGGACAGGCTGTTCTAGCCTTGTGGCCAAGCAGTGTTCTGCCAATTGATTTCTTTAAATACCAAAGCTTTTAATCGACTGCAGATTTTGTTTCCCAACCTTTCTCCTTCTCTCGAACTCCCTTCTGCTAATTTGCACTTTGTTCTTCTCCCATTTTCCTAATGACACAGCAGTTCAGACAGGAACTGTTTATTGATGTTGCTGCATTAGCAGGCAGAGCAGATAAACCTTCTTGTGACTGTCGTTCAGGAGAACAACCGTGGTTTTCTTCCTTTTCCAGGTTCAGATAAAAACAGCTGAAAAACTCAATACAAGACTAATAGCCCATTTATGGGAAGTGCAAAAAGCAGTCATTCCCTTCAAAAAAAAATGTTTCCTTTTTTACTTTCTTGGAGTCTGCATCTATCCTACGTAACTCCTTAAATTTAGAACTCCAGCATCCCATTTCCTCTATGAAAGCTTTAGTGGTGTGATGCATCAATAGAGATGGACTTTCTTTTAATTACATCGTATATTTATCCATAATCCAATAGCATTTGTAACATGAACCTGTTCTTAATCAAACTTGACTCTTAGTCACACCTAATGCTTGTTCAAAGCTCAGTTGTAAGACCAGTCCCACTTAAATTCTCTGGAGGCAACAAGATCTTCCTGCAGCACTGAGCAAAATCAGTCAATATCCAATTTAAAAACAGGGCTTTCCTTATTTCCAGTAGTTTTTACCAAACAGCTTGGGCATGAGCATGAACTTAAATTCCACTTGCAAAGATGTTCTTGAAGCATGCAGTTCTAGCTCATTATATTTTTGCTGACCTGCAAGGATAGATTTATCTTTATTTCAAGAATTCTTCATGAGTCGGTGAAATTCAACCTTCAGAGCAGATAAAAAATTGGCATTTCAGATGCTCTGCAAAAAAGAGGAAGCTCTAAACAACTTTAGTGGAAACCTGAGTCCTTTCTCAGGACAAAAAGACTCAGAAATTGCAAGGAACCTCCCAGATAAAATCCCTGAAGCTCCCGGTGTTCCCCTGTAACTGTATTAAGCTCAGATGGAATAAGAAGTTCATAATCAAAAAGAAAATACATTGAGATGGTCATCAAGCAGTGAGGATGGTGTGAGGGCTTAGTGGAGGATCTCCAGTAGTGCTCACCTGCTCAGTTGAAGTTGAGGAGCAAAGAACAGACCCGATAGAGCCAAACATCCCCATCTTCCCTACTTTCTTCTCCAGCTGACTTCAGCAACTCCTCCTCTCTCATGAAAATCCATCCCTGTGCTGGCACATGGAGCGGTGGTGGGGCTGAGGAGGGGCAGCTTTCATTCCTTTGAGCCAAGGACTGTTTAGGTGCACACGTAATTCAGGGACTTGCTGCTCTCTAAGCTCTGCCAGTCTCCTAGGACTTCACTGGGATACTGAAAAGAAATCTTGGACAGCCCCTTCCAGCCACTGGTGAAAGACAACCTCCACCAGGAGGAAACCCACTGTGTCTCCAGACATTCCCTCTTTCCCTGAGGCTGCTGCTTAAAACGTCTGTTAGGCAAACACACATTAAGTCCAAGTTCCTTTGAAGGTGGCATCCACCTGTGTCTAAGAGTAGTCAAGATCAGTTTTGGGTGATCTATTCCCTCGCTCTCTGAAGTTTAAGACTCCCCTATGCTGTATGTAAGCTAAAAAGGCACACACCATCGGTCAGTGGGATTCGGTGGACATACAGCAACTTTAGTTTGCCTCCTAATCCTGGGAAGAAAAATGCATGAGATGTTTTCCAAAACAATGTCCATCTCTGACCATTCTCTTCTGGCTTGTGCAGAAATGCGACTAAGGAATTAAGGACAGAAGCAACTCAGAGGCAAAAGTGTGCAGGCTGGACACATATTTTCACCTTAAATATTCCTTTAGGAAAGAGGGACATTGGTTTCACCCAACTACATTTATGACTTCGGTATTTTTATGTCTGAATCAGAAAGTCTTTTCTTTGACCTAACTTGATTTTAAAACTGATTTTGCCCGAGGGAAGGCTGAATATAAACCAAGTAGAGATTTTAAAATTTGACCTAGAATGTTGAACTAATAGCTGACCTTTGAACTGCTCCTAGATTACCCAGGGTTTATGGTCACCCTATGTTTCATTGGAAGGGCCATTTCCTGTAGGACTTACATCGAGTCATCTGACGTGACCTCTTGGATTAGATTTATGACCTTGCAAGGCCAGTCTTTAACTCCTTCTAGACTGTTAAGTTGAAAAGAGGACATTGTATGTCATTAGAAAAGTAGCTTTCTCCAGTATGTTAATAAGGTTTTGGGACTGACCTTTACTTCCAGTGACACAAGACACTACTGATGACTTTGTAGTTACCCCTACCTTTACTTAATTTAGAAATAAGTAGATATATACATTGAAGATACCAAATTTTTGCCAGTATTTGCAAACTTGCCAAACAGAATATAGTCATCTACTTCCATATCAAGGTATTTAAACAAAAGAGAGACTTGATTTTCAGCTCTGCTAAGTATTAACAATTCCAGCTGGTCTCAATAGGAACAGTAGAAACTCAACACTCCTCAAAATTACGCCAGTAATGCGTAACTATAAAACTATAGAAAAACATGCTTTCTTTATGTGTTTGTATGTGTAATTAGTGTCTGTAATTTCTTGGGCAGGAATCATCTCTTTTCTTAATGCATCTATGCTGTATAATAGCTTGACTTTGCTTTCTGATAACAATGAAAATAAATGCATTGACTAGAATCAGGCCTCAGATACAGAGCTTTACTGGAGCTAAAGTTAAAAAACAGCTTTTCTGTGGTTAAACACAAAATTCAATAGACCAACGCAACTGCATTTTCAACAGACATCAAAGTTAAGTGCCATAAGCATGGGTTTTCTAAAGACCTCAGGTTCAAGTTAGGCACCAAAACCAAGGACTAGATTTATTGAGCAACTCCCTCCAAACTTTGTGTGAAAAGACAAAGTAGGTGTCCTTAGAAGGGATCCTTTTGGATGTCAATCCCCAGATGGGGACTCCAAGCATTTGCATGGTCACCTGTGTTACAGCCCGAGAAGTATTTGAGAAACTCTGCTGAGTTGTGTTTCTTTCGCCTGTCTTTCAGACCCCGTGAGGCTACGAGCCTTTCGCTGTAACGGCCGTTCCTGCAACCCTCCGGTGGGAAACCTTGCAACAGGGAGGATACCGGTCACTCTCACCACGTGTGGCCAGAACAGTACAGAACTGTACTGCTTCTACCCAGACCAGAATCTCCTCCATCAGGGCTCCCATGGCTGTGGGCAGCCTCGCTGCACCAAATGCAATGCCAACCAGCCTGATAACTCCCATCTCCCTGGCGACATGACAGATGATTTCTTTGCAAACCCCATCTCCTGGTGGCAGTCTGCCCAAGGGGTACACAGGGAAGAAATCAGACTGGACTTCGAAACAGAATTCTACCTGACCCATGTCATCGCTGTGTTCAAGTCACCTCGCCCTGCTGCGATGGTGTTGGAAAGATCCCAGGACTATGGGCAGACCTGGAGGCCCTACAAATATTTCTCTGTCAACTGTACAGCGACCTTTGGGCTCCAGGATGATCTCATTGAGGAGGGCTCCATGTGCACTTCCAGGTATTCAGATGCAGTGCCCTGCACCAGAGGAGAGGTAAGCAATAACTGAGGTTTGGACTAAGTTTAGTATCACACAGCTGAAGACTAGCTGAAAATAATAGAGTATGTGCTCAAAGAGATATTGTGCATATGAATTAAGAAAGACAGCCCATCCCCAAAGGCTTGGCATTAAAAAAATAAAGGGGAAGACGAAGAGAAATTATCAATGAAAATGAATGGAAATGCTTTAAATTTATTTTATGAGAGTTGCACAGGGTAGGATTAACATTGCCTAATTTCACATTGCAGACGCCAATAACTAGAATTCCAACAAAACAGACATAAGGAAATACACATTTGTGGAGTCTGATTTATCCAAACTGTTTTCCTACTTTATGATGACATGAACTGCATGTTGGTTGTTTTTTTTTTTTTTCTCCATATAAAAAATCCTAGATGATTGGATGACTTTTAAATACATCTCTCCCCTAAGTTATATGTAACTTTTCTTGCTGGGTGTGACTGCTCGGATTGTATCTAGCCACAGGCTCCAGAAATGAAACCCTTTAGAATCAGGAAGTGGAAGCGAGCAGCCAGGTTTCACCATCAACAGTGAGAAAAGGCTCTCCCTTGGTATGGATGGTCTGATAAATCCCCCTGACAAAAACATTAATGACTGCTTAGTGATCAGATAGTTTAGTTACAACCCTTTCCATTCATCAATCTTGAAACAGTTTAGATGGGAAAGAAAGTAAATATCACGGATATCATTTTATAGAGGAGACATAAAGGCACAAAGGGAGATTATAAGACATTCCTATAGTCACAACAGAGGCTGGAGTCCTTTCACTTTCTTCTTTTCCTTAGAGAAATCACAATCCTCTTGGTTTTCCTGTCTGGAAGTGATCATGCAGGTTTAGCAGGAATACTTTGCTGCAAATTAAGCTCAGGTGTGAGGTGAATGGTCCAGATAGGCTTTAAAAACACAGTGGTTTCAGCAGTGCACTTCAAAATGCACTTGAGAAGAAAGAAACTAGTGGACTGTACCCGAGACAGGGAAACGGTAGTAAGGAGAGACTGAATTCATCTTTGTGCAGGAGTCTGGGAAACATCTCTGCGTATTAGACATCTGGAGCAGATCATCTGACTACTAAACTGTCTTGTTCCTGGAGTAATAATTCTGCTGGTCAGTTATCACGATACGTTTAAGACAAATACATCCAAATGTCTTCTTAGAGAGATTATAATTTGCCACGTCAATACGGAATCCAGGCAATTAATATAATTTTCCACTCTTGTGCGCTTTCCAATCAAAAATCTGGAAGTACTTTGCAAGATCCATTTAATGATCTTCAGCACAAATATAAATAAAGGGTCCTGTTGCCATTCCACGGATGGGGAAAGAGCAGCACAGAAAGGTGAAGTGTTCCATGGTAAAACAGGACAATCCTGGCTGAGTAAGGAACAGAACACAGGGTGTGAGGGAAATGCCTTGGCCTTAAATGCAAAACAACTCTGCCTTCTTTAGTACAGTATCCTCTGCTGCCCTGCACTATGTTGGCTTTTGTGCTTACTTAACCTTGGGGAATATCATTAAGACCATATGTTGCTGCTACAACAAATCTGAGAAGTGGATGGCAGAAAATCAAATAATAAAACATTCAACCAACACAAGCCTTTGTGATTACAAGTGTCAAAATGATTCTGTCAACTTGGGCAGCAACTACGCTGAAATGAATATGTGTATGCTTAATCAATCTATGCCGTGGTAGGAGATGTTAGAAAACAATAGTAATAGTAAGAACAGTCACATATTTACAGGTCACACCCTTGCAGGTCCCAAATACTTCCATGAACCGTTACATGAATTGAATACGTACAGAGGTCACTTCCTCCACAGGACAGAGAGCTGAAGCTTTAAAGCAGCACACAGCAACCTAACAGAGAGCCAGACAAACACTGCTTCACAGCACATTAACTGCGGGATTCTGAAGTTCTGGACAGACTTTAGAGACCTCTTAATCAACCCATGAAATGCCACTATGGCAAGGGTGCAAAAGCATCAGGCTTTTCAGGTCAGCAATACGACACAGCAGATTCTTTTGTGAATGAAAATAGAGGAAGGCAGAGTGTAGTTATTTAAAGTGATACCTGATAGATTTGCTTGAGTCACACTGCTACTCTTACTACAAGTCCCACAGGAGCTTTGCCCACACACCTCAGAACTGCAATTTTACACCTTATTTTAAAGATGTCACAATGTCACTGGGGCATCTCCTCAAGCACTGACTCACAACTGACGTGGAAGGAAGCTGACTGAATCCCCACTACTTTCTTCAGTGTTCTCGGCTGCTTTTTCACCTCCCCTCTGACCCATCCAATTACTGATTTTGGCTGAGCCTTGGATTGCTGAGGAGCTCACATCACAAGCTGTCGTTTCTGAAATGATCAAAACCATTACAAATTAAATTATAATTAATGCTCTGAGATAAATACCAGTTTTCTTTGCTGAGGGGGCTGAAGTAGTTTCCACTGAGTGACTATAGTTTTTCTTGGGGTTTTCCTATTCACTTGGAGAAAAGACGCAAATTCCTTTTTAAGAGGGCACTAAAGGAATCGAAAGAAGAGATGGCTTACTAAGAACACTTAGGTTTAAAACCCATGTGGGACACATCATAAAACAAGGTTTCAGGTCAACTGGCTTCCAGAACTGAGAATGTGGGTGTGAAAGGAGAAGGTGGTAGAGCCACAGTAACATACATCTATAAAGTGAGATGCGTCTCGCTGAGTCAGCACATTCTGGTGATCCTCCAAGACCACTGAAAGAGACTTTTCCTGGGAACACGATGGGAAACTTGGCAGAAGATGAACTCTTAGGAGACCAGAATGGAAACAAAAGACATTGGGTGAGTGATGCGACAATGTCACAGATGTATCACAAAGTTAAAGTGTATCCCTTGTCTCTCATAGGTTATCCCTTATCTTTCACCTCTGGCAGGGTCACACATCTCCATTCTCTCTCACATAAGTTAGAGCTGATACAGCAGGTGTCATGCATTGGGGATCAAGTCCTGTAGAAATCCAAGATTACTTTCTAATGTATCTTTTGCAGTTTTCTTTTGCTCCAGCATTTACTAAACCCCTTACTCCTGTTCAGATCCAGAGTACTTCTGCAGCTAGAATCTCTCTGAGATCCTAGGTCCCTCCACCTTAATTCTCTAGCCATAAACTTGCTCTGTTGATGATTTGCAGTCTAGGAGGCAGAACAATTTATTCACTGCCAATTGCCTACACATCATTTGCTTCCTGTGAAGTACCACAAAATCAACACCTAACTTTCTGTGCTTATAAACGCTTTGCAGGGAAAGTTCTCCACTAGCATACCTTAAGTCCTGATTAGCCTATTAAGTACCCTGTGCCTGTTGACTTCTATCACTATAAGAAATTATATATTAAATGGGAAACAAGTGCTTCTAATCCTTATCTTGTGCTTAAGGGAGAACATTATTAACTATTCTTAAAGGATAATAGTTGTTGCTGTGCTCATCAGCCTCAGTGTGCCAACCTCCAACATACCATCACGAACTAATGCCAACGCCACCTTTTTAAACTCTGTTCATCTACTGTACATGCAATGCTTGCATGGAGTCTTATGCATCATCTGAGATCTTTTTTACCTACTTGCCCATCCTTCTGTTGTTCTAATTTGAAAACAATGTACTGTATACTCATGGAGCTTAAAATGAGCCTTCAGTTCACCTCATGTAAATCAAAACTCTGGCCCAAACAAAAAGAGAAATCACCACAATGTTGCATCAGACATTAGTGTGACTTACAGTTCAAACATCATATGGGGGAAACAGGGACCGGAATGTTTCAACCTGCATCCTGACAGCACGTGCACTCAAGGATCTGAGAGATTAAGAGCACATTTTAAATAAACTGTAAAACTGGGAAATGAAAACAAATGTTCTCCTCCATCGAAGATGATGTTTGCATGAATGGAAGACATTAGCATGCAAAATGGGGCAGAACACTGACCTGCTTACAACCACCAGACCCTCAGCCTATTGGGTCTAGCTAGTGGAAGGGAGTTTTGAATCAAAGGCTGGTTCATTTATGTGAGTGTCTGTGTGACAGATGACACCAATGAAGTGTGATATAATAAACCCATTACTGGAATTCACTTGGGGATGGAAGAATTGTGTATGCCTGAATTAAGTAACTGGTTTCTATGGCAACATGTGAAGTGTGCCTCGCACAGAAGACCTGTTCGTTCTCCGTTTTGTATCCTGTGGTGACCTCTTTAGGGACACAAGTCCCCAGCAGTGCCTTTTGTCAAAGATAAGTGGACTCCCTTTGTAGCTAAAAGACTTTTAATCACTCTTCTAAACACACTCTGTGAATGCCAGATGAAGATGTGTCATGATGGGATGCAGTTCTGCCTGAAAAGCCACCAGGTTGTTCAGAGAGAAGCCAGTGTTGAGGCCATGGAAGGCCTTTTCCTCTGCACTGGCACTGAAGACCTCTGCTGCCTTTCTGCATCTACAGGGACTCCCTGAGCAACAGTTATGGCAGAGGGGAACCACCTGCCCACAGACACCAAACCAGAATGGGGACAGAGCTCTGTGTGAAATGTGTGTGAACCTGTTCCAAGGACCTACGTTCATGCCAAAGCTTTTGATAAACAAAGGAGGATCCCCCGCATACACACACACCCCTCATTAAGTCGCAACATTAATAATTCAAGAGGCTTCAGTGGCTTCTTAGAGGTCTGATCTCATATGGCAATGGGGTCGCCGAAAAGAAACCTGCTCAGCATATCACAAGGATGAATTCCTAGTAGCTGAGATACGAGGGCAGGGTCTTGGGCTGCAGTGAGTTGTCCAACAGCCACCAGGACTGGCCTCTCAAAGTTGCGTGATGCTTGGGTTATTCCGACTTCCAGCCGGAAAGGATTCCAGGAGGGATTAGTCACTAGTGAAGGTAAGTGCCCGAATGTTATGACTAGGGCCGTCTGTTCAACGTTTCGTTTAACTTGAACTGTAGAGGAGA